AAGACCCTTAGGTACAGCAGTTAAAAACAATAAAGTACTGGATGTGCAAAGTACAAGTGCCTTGGTGCAAATAAATGTACAAATGAAAGTGCACAAAAGACAATCATCTATAAGTTCAAATAATGAACTAAAGGCAAAGTTATTGCACAAGCATTAAAACCAGTAAGTATGTAAAATAAAACTGCCGATACCAAGCTGCAGGGTCCAAAGGTAAGCTCAACGCATTTCGTCTCTCGACTTCCTCAGGAGCATCTTCTCACTTCAGAATCCTCTTCTCTTTTGAATCCGCTGGTCTGTGTGGTCACTTCCGCCGTTGCCCATGCGTGCGCCACGTCACGCGCACCGTCATACGTCATGACGTGTATGTGACTGGCTTGCGCATGCGCAACCATGTTGGAGTGCAAAATAACTTTATTGATAATGTACACAGTCGCACTAAGGACGTTCTATGTAAAAAACGTCCTTAAAACTTTTGCGATCTGTGTGTACAAAGCCTGCCTGACCCCCAACAATCATCACTACCAGCCTACCAAGTAATATAAATAGTGCTGGTAAGGGGAGGAAAAAAGTGAAAATAAATATAAAATTTAAGACAGTTTCCCCAGACTTGTTTGGGACACTGCCCCTTTAAGCCTGTGTCCCCAGTGTCCCCAGACTTGGTTAAAACCCTTTGTTCCTGGCCATTTCCCACTTGGTTTAGTAAATGGGGCTTACTGAACCAAGTGTCACATAGGCGGACCACCCAGAAGTGGAAGTGTGCAGGCTATTTACCTCCCACGCTGGGAGCCTGCTGTAGGTAAATTGCCGAACGCTGGGTGGCCGTTGTTCGCGCAAACGAACACTTGGCTGCGTTATCTTTGTTCGTTCAAATACGGTCAGCGGTATGTGCAGCCAAATTCATGGAACTAAAATCGGCTGCACATTTCCGCGAACACCTCTGACCTGTACCTTCTCCTATGCTGAACTTTCAGCCGCAGAGACTAAGTCCCATTCGGCGATGGGACTTAGTCATTTTTTCAGCCTGAAATAGACCGACCGCACAGCCCAAATCTATGGAACTGTTTTGGGCATGAAAATGTGCTTGCGGTCGGTCATAAAGGACTTCCGTCTAACTTTTTATCCACTGGAGGGATTTGTGTGATTTTTGGTTATGTTTATATTTAACGTGTGCTGATTCTAAATATGTAATTTATGAAGATTGGATGTATGGTTTTAAAGTTATAGTACATGTATAAAAACTGTATTTTTCCTGCCTGTGATAATGATGTTAACCATTGTGTGCCATAATTAGATCACAGGCAGAGGATTTTGTGTGTAATTGCTGGGAGTGTTTTCTGTAATGTACGTGTGTTATTGGTTGTTCTGTAAAACCCTGTGGGTGGTCCTATGTAAGGAAAACCTGCATAAAAGAAGGCCCTTTGAGCCAAATAAATGAGAATGACTTGACCCTCTAACTTGCAGCCTTGACTCACCTTTGTAGGGGACAGCTATAATCACTACACGGATTGCTATGCTCTTCATACTCCCTTAGCTACTGAGCTCTTGTAAGAGCTCTTGTTCTTGATCCTGCTTCGCCCTGCAGAAGGAAGAGATATCACCCACTGGACCATGGAGCCTGGTCGTAGGTCCAGGGTGGACAGCAGACGGCGAGATACCAGCCCAGCAGCGGTGGTTTGTGGAGTCTGCAGTACTTGTGGTGTCTACGCAGTAGTTATGGTGTCTACGGTGCTGATGGTCCTTTGGTGAGCGCTAGGAGCATCATTTCTACAGTCCAACTTCCAGCCAGCCTGGAGGCAGGGCCGGACTGGCCCACCGGGATACCGGGAAATTTCCCGGTGGGCCGCGGCACCTGGGGCCGGTCTGACAGCCCTAATCATTGGGCTGACAGCTCCGGCCGCACAGAGCCCCATGGGAGCCAGGGGGAGCCGGCCGGCACAGCTCTCACACACGGCCGGCCGGGATCATAAAAAAATAAAAAATAAAATTGCGGCGGGGGCGGAGCTTAATGCGGTGGGGGCGGGGCTTAGCGTGCGGCGGGGGCGGGGCTTACCTGCGGCAGGGCCCGGCTGACTGCAGCATGGGAAGCAGGAAGGAGTCCTGCTTCCCCAACAACCAGCCTGCAGGAGCAACAAACAGGAGGTAAGAAGGAGGTCAGTGTGTGAGTGTGTGACTGTCTGTGAGTGTGGGACTGTCTCTGTGTGAGTGTGTGACTGCCTGTGAGTGTGTGACTGTCTCTGTGTGACTGTGTGTGAGTGTGTGACTGTCTCTGTGTGAGTGTGTGACTGTCTCTGTGTGAGTGTCTCTGTGTGACTGCCTGTGAGTGTGTGACTGTGTGAGTGTGTGACTGCCTGTGAGTGTGTGACTGTCTGTGTGAGACTGCCTGTGAGTGTGTGACTGTCTGTGTGAGTGTGTGACTGTGTGTGACTGTCTGTGTGACTGCCTGTGTGAATGTGTGACTGTCTGTGTGACTGTCTGTGTGAGTGTGTGTGTGAGTGTGTGTGACTGTCTGTGTGTGACTGCCTGTGAGTGTCTGACTGAGTGTGTGACTGTGAGTGTGTGACTGTCTGTGAGTGTGTGACTGTCTGTGTGTGACTGTCTGCCTGTGTGTGACTGCGTGTGTGTGTGTGACTGTCTGCCTGTCTGTGTATGTGTGTGGCTGTCTGCCTGTCTTTGTATGAGTGGGTGTTTGCCTCGGTGTCAATGACTGTCTGCCTGTGTGTGTGTGTGTGTGTGGCTGTCTGCCTGGGTGTCAGTGACTGTCTGCCTCTGTGTGTGTGTGCACGTATCTGCTAGTGAGGGAGCCTGTGTGTGTGTGTGTGTGTGTGCCTGCTAGTGAGTTTGTGTGTGTGTGTGTGCCTGCTAGTGAGTGAGCTTGTATGTGTGTCAGTGAGCTTGTCTGTAGGGATCATATGTGTGTGTGTGTGTGTTAGTGAGCTTGTCTGTAAGGAGCATGGGTGTGTCGGAGCCTGTCTGTGGTGAGCATGTGTGTACAGTGAGCTTGTCTGTAGTAAGCATGAGTGTGCAGCCAACTACTAAAATTGCCTATATTTATATATATATATATATATATATATATATGCAATTGAAATAGTTGGCTGCACTCTCGGATTTCCTGAAAATGTAACTTTTATTGAAATATTTAAGAGAAGATCAACGTTTCAGTCCCTCTTGTGGACTTTCGTCATCTTCCTGATGAAAGTCCACAAGAGGGACTGAAACATTGATCTTCTCTTAAATATTTCAATAAAAGTTACATTTTCAGGAAATCCGAGAGTGCAGCCAACTATTTCAATTGTGTGTGTGTGTGTGTGTGTGTGTGTGTATATATATATATATACACACCCTACATAGCACAATGACTTATGGGGCTGGCATAGATTTTTTTCCAGGGCTGCTTCGTATCCCCAGTCCGGCCCTGCCTGGAGGCAACCATAACATCCATCTTTTAAGTTCTTCTGCCGTAATAAATATAAGATCTTGCCTTCATGCAATATAAAGATCTTTGTGGGGAACCCCCATCAGTATTTTATGTTCTTGGATCTAATTACTGTTGTGCTATCTGCAAAGGTCTTCCTCTTCTGTCTGGTGTTTCATGACAGATCATGTTAGACCTTTAGCTTTTTGTACTCTCCTGGTAGATTTTTTTTTTTTCAGTGATCTCAGGATCTGTAACCTGAGTTTAAAAGAGGAGCAACAAATCAGTATGTCTCTTGGAAGGTGATCTGGTACGCCTTTTGACTTGTTAACTCTGTGACACCGTTCCATCATAGGGCTTTTGATGTCCCATTCCACGTTCATATATTTGAAGAATGATTCCAATTATGTTGTCTTTATTTGTGTTGACACTTCTCTAATGCTTAGATTGTTCCTCCTTGATCTGTCCTCCAGATGTATCATTTTATTTTCCAGATCCAATATTTTTCTTTCCAGGATAACATGTTCTTCCTGTGGGAGTTACTTACTTGTTCAATCATCTCAAATTTAGCTTCAATACTCTGTATCCTTGGGGTTAATAAGGAAAGGTCTCTTGATGTCCTGTGTATTCAATTGCATTTCCTCCTTCATTTTCTCAAATTGTGTGTCTGATGACTAAGTAGTCGTTCATATAGATTTTCTTCCTGTCTTAAATTGTCATGTGCCTCCGCTTGTGTACTGCTCATTTCTCCAGTCGGATTGGTTGACTGGTATGAGACTTATAAATTTGATTTATTCCCAGGTGGTTGGGAGAGAAAAAAACGACAAGCGTTTTTCTGGTTGCCCTTCCATTTTTCATTTTCTTCAGGTGCTTGCCATTTTTGCGTCTTTTTTGGGCCATAGTTCTCTCTCCCTATCTCCCCTTATCTCCCTACCTCTCTCCCCTTCCTTTTTTCCTTCCCTTCCCTTTATTCATCCCTATTTATTTTATATAATTGACACCCGACTAAGAGGAAAAAAGGCCATCTAAAAAAAAAAAAAAAAAAAAAACAACAACTGGGTAATAGAAAGTGACAAATGAGATCTCCATTCAGTAAGATCTCTACTCAGTGGGATCTCTATTCGGTGAGATCTGAGTGAGGTCTCTATTCAGTGAGATCTTTATTCAATGAGTTATTTTGCCCCCTTTCCCCAGTTATGTTAACCAGCTACAGTGTAGTTTCTTCTATTGGAAAAGGTTGAGGAAGGACAAGCATAAAGCCAAGAAAGCCCCCAAAAAAAAGCAAAGATAAAAAACAAAAAACAAAAATAAAAAGCAGACAGAGAAAAAAGCAATATGAAGCTTCAACATGTAAAAGTATTGGTGGGATTAAATATCTCACAGATATGGAGTAGATAGTATGGATAGAGATACCACTCAAATTGGAAATAATGGGGTTACCACCAAAAAAACCCTAAAGTGCAAATGAAGATAGAATATTAGAAATGCTCTAATAAGTATCCAGGAGTGATATAGGATATGTATCTTTTAAAACATTAAGTAAGTAGATTGGCTTAAAATTAGTACTTATAAAATGAATGATAGTAAAATGGATCAAGTAGTCAGTATTGGCATAAAGTCACTATGTGAAAGTCCACAAATATAGCACCATATCTGATCAAATACAAATAAAAAATAATGTGTTGAAAAAGTCACTGAAAAAAAAAAATGAATGAAAAGTCCACAGTCTTTGCAACAATAATGCTGTTTGAAACTGTTATTGTAAATAGTTTTCACAATGTTAGCTTGTAGCAGTTAGCCTCAGTTACAGAGTTTGACTGGGGTTTATCTGCTAAACAAGTTTTTTGAATATAGTACAAAATACAAATATCTTCTTCCTTAAATGCTGTAAGTTGTAATAATGTACACTGCTTATGACTGTAAAATACTTAAAGATCATAAAGTAGGATCCTAAGTAATGAATGATGCCTTCGATCTACAATAAAACAAGATCGGAATCCATAGTGTTTTCTGCATATAAAAAGGCTTTTAATCAAAATTAGTGATATTAAAATTGCACTCACAATTTCTTCCGAGTGTATATGGATACGCTGATGTAAAATGGGGTCTGTGAGCCATGGGTCCCTCAATTTGGCCGGTGAGTGATGGAGTGACTGCTTGGCCGCGTGCGTGTCACCTTTTCCCGTCTGTGCGTTCCAATTGCAACTTGGTGTCAATTTGCGGTAAGTGCCGAAAAACAGTTCAATCTCGGATTCTATCCTTACGCGTTTTGTGAGTAGTATCTCACTTCATCAGAGGATGTCATATGTGTATGGCAATGGGTTTAAACAGCCAATAGTTATTCTTGGCTTATTAACCCCTTAATTGCCTAAATAAATTGTTAACTAACTTTTAGTTATATTATAAGCAGTTGTACAATATTAATTACATTTAACAACATATTAAAGACTTTAGTCATCCTGTAACAAAATAAATATTTAAAATTAAATCGAATTTAAATTGCAACACCACAGGATTAATTTACTTGTTAAGCTGTCCCTGTAAAAAAAATATACATAGGACGAACCAAAAGAGCTCTTAAAACAAGAATTGGGGAACATATTAGAAATATTAAAAAAAGCCTCCATTCACATAATCTTTCCAAACATTTTGATACTGTACATAGAAAAGACCCAACAGGATTAATGTTCGTGGCAATACAGAAAGTTAATGTTCCATGGAGAGGAGGAGACTTGGAGAAAGAAATAGACAAAGCGGAAGCCAAGTGGATTTTCAAACTAGATGCCCTGGAACCTAGAGGGTTAAATGTAGACTTTGAGCTAAATGCTTTTTTATAAGATATTTTTTTCACAATAACAGAAGTCTTTTAAATTCCCCGCTTTTTACACACCTTTATTTTACTATGTAACATATTTTTATTATGTATGCAATATTATTTTAAATATTTCTTATGTTAAATACATAATTAATATAACTGACTAATAATTGACTGTTATGTCACGTCATCATCCATTTTTAAAAATCTATTATTTTAGATCTATTCCTAATCTGATTTTTTGGTCTTTGCTGTTTTTCCTTTGGTTCAATAAGTAAATATAAAGCTGTTCTATAGATATTACCATAATGCTTATCATGAATTTATTTAGAAATTCCTGTAAACACATACAAAGAATTATTATAAAATCACTGTGGGGATATTTATGGGATAATAATAGTAAACAGTTGAGAATTGCCCACTAATTCAATTCTCAGATCCCAAAGAACGTTTATCGTAAGTGAGAAGTATTTCATATAAATAATCACAATGTTATAAAAATAGATTTTATTTTATATAATGACAAATTAATTAATAATAATATGTAACATGCGTGACAATAATCAATGAATATCCAGTATAAAATGATATGCAATACAAAGGAATGGCTAAATACGTTTCAATGGCTAAACAGCATTATCTGTCAAGATTTTTGACGATTTATGAGGTATCTTTAACACAGACTGAAAGTGAAACTTTTCACAGCGAAGGGCCATAAAACCCTGGCTAACAGTTAGAATAACCCTTTCAATGCTATCTAGACCTCCTAGATAGTTAAGATCTATTCTTATGTAATTTCAAATAAAATAACATTTAAACCAGTTCATTAGTCATTTCCTGGAACCATCCAATAAGAGAATCTACCATATTATATAAGCAGATTTTAATTTGTCTAAAAGATATCTATCTTATATTAGAGCAAATCAATACACCTGGATAAAACAACGGTATGCTACCACGTGATAATATCACATGAATATATAATTATTCTTAATTCCACCTGCAGAATGGAATGTTTATAACTATATATTCTTTAGTTAACTAAGATTTCTTAATATGGAAATCTGACCGTGCTTTATCCAGTCATATATAATGCTATTAATACATTTTAATTAATTAAATTAATTAAATGAAACCAGTATAATTACCAGTTGAGTAGATATTTCATCCGATTGGTAGATAGTCTCAGGAATTTATTTGGATGTCTCTCTGCATGGAGGTATGGTGAAAGGTGGTGTTGGTTAGAAAGTCAGTGAAATTCTAAGTGTTAGAGTTTAAGAGTAGAGTGTTAGTCTCAGATGTTGTGAGTTGGAGTCCCCCAAACTTCCAATTCCTCTCTCCTCTTTTTCTTTCTCCTTTGCATTTCTTTGCATACCTCAATCTTCCCTTTGTCCTAACTTTTAAAGGGCCAGACTCTCTGTACGTCATCAGTTGATAACCCAATAGAAGCACTAGAGGTGTGGTTATCTTCCAGATCACAATTTAGGTATTTAGTCTATAGAGGGCAGTCTTGTCCCACTAAACATACCTATCCAGGAAAGAGTTAACTTTTCTTGGTGGCTATTTTGACGTCATTTTGTGTTATCTTTATAGTGCCATAACTTAAAATTTTAAAGGGTTTCTTTAAGTTTTGTCCAGACTATGTGTCTGGCAAATCTGAGTTTTGACCCGTAACTTACAATGGGACCTTATACATATAGACAGTCTATCCAACCCCCCCGTTCTCCTTATCACTTGGTTTGTTTATAATATGCATTCCTTTAGCTCTGGCAAAAATAGTTAGTTTTACAGATAGAAATCTTGTGTCTTTTTGTTAACTTGAAAATAACAAAATGGAGTCTGGTCTGTTCAGAGTGACTCAGAATATACACTTTTAATTTCTATCATAGCACAAAATGTCTGCCGATATAAATACCCTGACATCACTTGAAGAGTTAAATAATAATTTTTATTTTTATTTTATCTTTTAACATTTAGCTCCTTTTTATGTGCAATATGTCACAATAATTTATGGACAAGCACTGCTGGAAAAATGATTTGCTATAGAAGATAGCATTCACTATTGCTATATTTGATATTTTTAGTGTTTTTTATTTGATCTGTTTTACTGTTTTTTATGTCTTTTGAAACACTGTCATTTGTTAAATGTAATTACTATTGTACAACTGCTTATAATATAACTAAAAGTTAGTTAACAATTTAATTAGGCAATTAAGGGGTTAATAAGCCAAGAATAACTATCGGCTATTTAAACCCATTGCCATACACATATGACATCCTCTGACGAAGTGAGATACTACTCACAAAACGCGTAAGGATAGAATCCGAGATTGAACTGTTTTTTGGCACTTACCGCAAATTGACACCGAGTTGCAATTGGAACGCACAGACGGGGAAAGGTGACACGCACGCGGCCAAGCAGTCACTCCATCACTCACCGGCCAAATTGAGGGACCCATGGCTCACAGACCCCATTTTACATCAGCGTATCCATATACACTCGGAAGAAATTATGAGTGCAATTTTAATATCACTAATTTTGATTAAAAGCCTTTTTATATGCAGAAAACACTATGGATTCCGATCTTGTTTTATTGTAGATCGAAGGCATCATTCATTACTTAGGATCCTACTTTATGATCTTTAAGTATTTTACAGTCATAAGCAGTGTACATTATTACAACTTACAGCATTTAAGGAAGAAGATATTTGTATTTTGTACTATATTCAAAAAACTTGTTTAGCAGATAAACCCCAGTCAAACTCTGTAACTGAGGCTAACTGCTACAAGCTAACATTGTGAAAACTATTTACAATAACAGTTTCAAACAGCATTCTTGTTGCAAAGACTGTGGACTTTTCATTCATTTTTCTTCAGTGAATTTTTCAACACATATTTATTTGTATTTGATCACATATGGTGCTATATTTGTGGACTTTCACATAGTGACTTTATGCCAATATTGACTTTTTGATCCATTTTACTATCATTAATTTTATAAGTACTAATTTTAAGTCAATCTACTTACTTAATGTTTTAAAAGATACATATCCTATATCACTCCTGGATACTTATTAGAGCATTTCTAATATTCTATCTTCATGAAGCTTCAACAGGTTGGGACAGATTGAGACTGTTGTTTAGTTTCTTTACCCCCTTTTGCCATCTTTGATAGTTTGCTAGTGGCAGTTACATTCAATATTGTACTTAGCTTTGAAGTGGGTTCAGAGCTTCTCCAGAGTATCCTGTGCAGATATCCTGCATGGGAACGACGGCAATCGGGTAAGTACATAATGTCGTTATAATGCCGCCACCGGTCCTCAAGGGGATTTTTCCGGTGACAGTCCTGAACCTTCAATTGTCATGAAGGGGTTAAAGGACCACTATAGTGCCAGGAAAACATACTCGTTTTCCTGGCACTATAGTGCCCTGAGGGTGCCCCACCCTCAGGGACCCCCTCCCGCCAGGCTCTGGGGAGAGGAAGGGGTTTTCACAGTGAGAAACGCGGAAGCCCTCTAGCGGCTGCCAATGAGACAGCCACTAGAGGCTGAACACTCTGAAACTGCTATGTTTATAGAAAAAGGGTTAATCCTAGATGGACCAGGCACCCAGACCACTTCATTAAGCTTACTGTTTATGTTTAATGTGTTTGAACTCTCTAACTTTCTTTTTCTCTCCTGCTCATACACTTTGATGATCTCCATTCCCCGATTCATACATGACTGCCGCCCGCGTCGCCAGGGAGATGGGTAGTAGGCCCTACTCCAGACCTGATCCAAGCTACATCCCGAGGTGACATGGCACTCATCCGCAGCCGACATCACCTAAAAATAAATATGGAAGAATTCATGTATTTGGGCATTCGTCTATTTACTATTCACCCGCAACTATACCCCCTCAGTCCCAAACCCTCACCAGAGAGTTAGACCAAAGGACAGACAGACCTATTTCCTGGTTGGGACGCATACATTCAATTAAAATGAACATCCTACCACGTTTATTATTTCTATTTCAATCACTACTGGTGAGAGTTACCCGGGGTGACCTAGCAGGCATACAAAGGGCAACAGATTACATAGTTACATAGCTGAAAAGAGACTTGCGTCCATCAAGTTCAGCCTTCCTCACATTTGTTTTTTGCTGTTGATCCAAAAGAAGGAAAAAAAAACAAAACTGTTTGAAGCACTTCCTATTTTGCAACAAGCTAGGAAAAACATTCCTTCTTGACCCCAGAATGGCAGTCAGATTTATCCTTGGATCAAGCAGTTATTACCCTTCATTGAAAGATTATATCCTTGAATATTCTGTTTTTGCAAGTATGCATCTAGTAGCTGTTTGAACATCTGTATGGACTCTGATAAAACCACTTCTTCAGACAGAGAATTCCACATCTTTATTGTTCTTACAGTAAAAAAACCTTTCCTTTGCCTTAGATGAAATCTTCTTTCTTACAGTCTAAACGCATGACCTCGTGTCCTATGCAAAGTCCGGGTTGTGAATAGATTTCCACACAATGGTTTGTATTGGCCCCGAATATATTTGTATAATGTTATCATATCCCCTCTCATTTTACAGAGTTTTGTGGCATCTGCAAACACTGAAACATGACTTTCAATGCTTTTCTTAAGATCATTTATAAACATGTTAAATAGAAGTGGTCCCAGAGCAGACTCCTGAGGGACACCACTTGCCACCTCTGTCCAGCTTGAAAATGTACCATTAATGACAAGTCTTTGTACTCTATTTTTAAGCCAATGTTCTACCCAAGAACAAGCATTTTCATCTAGACCGATTTTCTTGAGTTTGAACACTAATCTATTGTGTGGAACTGTATCAAATGCATTGGCAAAATCCAAATGGATCACATCCACTGCAACACCCTGATCTATACTTCTACTTACTTCTTCGTAGAACTCAAGTTAGTTTGACATGACCTGTGCTTCATAATGTCAAGGTTGAGCTCCCCAACACGCAAACTAAAGGACAAGAGAGGCAACCCCAGGTAAACGTATTACCAGTCCTTAAAGTGGCCGGACTTAACATGGAGAAGAAATACAAAATAGGAACGTCAGACGAGCCAAGGTCAGGGTTAGAGCAGGAAGCGTAATCGGAAAAACAAAGCCAAAGGTCAAGGAAGCCAGAGATAAGAATAACCAGAAGACAAGCCGAAGTCAGATACCAAAGAGACACAAGTTAAGAGAATGCTCTCTCGGGCTACAAGAAACCACGACAGGGCAAGGAAGTGATGTAAGAAGGCGGTATAAATAGGGCTAGGTAGGCTCTGATAGGTTAGGGATAGAATAGGGTAGAATATAAATAGAGAGTAATACCTGGGTGCTGTCCCTTTAAGAGCATTTCGGGACACGTCGCGCAAACCCATGTTGGAAACAGCGCGCGTGCATGCCCCCGGATGCGCACGCACACCAGAGCGCGCAATGCCGGCCAGAGGTCAGCACAGCCCTGGCGGAGCAGGAAGGACGGCGAGACCGGAGTGGCGCGGGCCGCAGAGAGGTATGACACATAAAACCATGCTGATTTTTGCTGATAACCATGTTCTTCTCAAGGAATTCTTGAATATTATCCCTTTATAACCTTTCAAATATTTTATCAGCCACAGAAGTTAAGCTCACAGGTCTATAATTTCCAGGCAAGGATTTTGAACCCTTTTTGAATATACTTGAATATAGGAACCACATCTGCCTTCCTCCAATCCCCTGGAACACTTCCTGAAAGAAAAGAATCTTGAAAGATTAAAAACAGGTTCACATATTTCTACACTTAGTTCCTTAAGTACTCGTGGATGGATACCGTCAGGCCCTGGAGCTTTGTTTATATTAACTTTCTTTAGTTGCTGCAGCACCTTGTCTTGAGTTAACCAATTACAATTATTCTGCAAGTTTTTAGTAGCAATCATTTGCACATCTATTGCCATGGGTTCTTCCTTAATATATACGGAAGAGAAATTGTTATTTAAAATTCCTGCCTTTTCCTGGTCTTCATTAACTAACATCCCCGTTTCATTTTTTAGTGTACCTACACTTTCATTTTTGGGTTTTTTAGAATTTATGTACTTAAAAAATGCTTTGGGGTTGGTTTTGCTCTCTTTAGCTATCATTTGTTCATTTTGAAGTTAGCAAATCTAATCGCCTTTTTGCACGCATTATTGGCTTCCTTATATCTTTTATAAGATACATCTGATTTGTCTGATTTAAATGCCTTTTTCTTATTTTTAATCTCTTGTTTTACTTCTCTACTAAACCACATTGGTTTTAATTTGTTTCTTTTATATTTATTACCCAATGGTACATACTGAGAAATGTACCTTTCTAATATTTGTTGGAAGATGTTCCATTTATCCTCAGTGTTCTTTTCACTAAAGAGCTTATGCAAGTCAATATATTGTTAAGCTGCTCTTAACTTATAGAAATTGGCCTTTTTAAAATTATATGTTTTAGTATACCCCATGTGCTATTAGAAAATAAACGCCCAAGACTGGCACGCAACCTCTTATACCGCCCAAAACCGAGAGGGGGCTTGGGAATGCCCAGCCTTCACCAATATAACCTAGCGGCACAACTAACCCAGATTATACAGTGGCACACACCCCCGACAAGAGACGCAGGGCAGATATCGAGTCTCTGATGACAGGGATGGATCTTCCCCAGTTCTACATATGGGTACCCAAGACCCAACAAGCTATCCTTAGAACCACCAATCAACTCTATACAAATATGGGACGAAACAAGACAAATACTGCCGGAGTACCCTTCCATCCCCAATGACACCAGTATTTAGGAACAGGGCTTTCCCGTCAGGAATGAGGGCTAGAGACACTGGAGGGATAGAAACTACAGGATTACAAAGATATGTTCACCTATATGTCAATCAAGAAATAGTTACATATGCATATATAAACACCCTAGCCACACTCAGAATACATGGTTACTTTAGATATTTACAAATTCGGGACTTTGCACAAAGAGCTAAAGTTAGGGAAGCGGCTACAGCGCCAAGGACTTTCTTTGAAAAAATTTGTTTTGTTTTTTAAATTCTTTGTTTTAGTTGTGCTCGGAAAAACAGCAATCTTGCATGGCCACAACAGCCGTATCAAGCATATTTATAACATTTCAAATTGTGGCAGATCAGAAAGCACATTTTATATATATATATATATATATATATATATAATATGAAATTAGCAAACCCTGTGATATCCATATACAGCAGGAACAGGCTATATCAAGTAGTAGGCGTGCTGTGAGTTTTAGGCAACAAGCTTGAAAGTTTAAATAAATGATTATCGTCGTTAGGAATGGACATGCTAAACTGAGTTTGCATACAAATTAATGTGTCACGCTTAGATAAGTGGGCTCAGTGTGTTCCCGCCGCAGGTCGGCTGCCCATGTGTGGTGTGATTCTGTCGGGGTCACCTGGTGGGCGCTGTGCGGCAGACCATGGGTAGTGTGTGGCTCCCGGCAGGGTACCTCTGGATCTCAGTGTGTCAGGGTAATGACAAGTTGACAAGTTGCGGTTCAGGATTCTGTGGTCTGTTCTGTGTGGCTTGTGTTTGCCTGTTAAGCCTCCCTCTTCGCTGCCTGTCGCATTCTTATCCCTCATCCTCGTCCACGTCTCAGCTTCACGGGCTGTGTGGCCCGTTTAAACGCGAGGGTGCCAGCGCGTGGATGGCTACAGTAGTGGTCTGTTCTGCCGGTGCCTTCAATCGTCTTGTTTGCTGCCACGGCAGGTAAGTTGTTTCTGGTTTCAGCGCCCGCACATGTGGCCTCCGCCATCTTAGTTACACTATTTCCATTGCGGGTCGGGGCGCCCTTGCTGCGGCAGGTTGGGTGCATTGTGGTGGTCGGGGCTCGAGGGTGAGGACTGGGATCACCGTCCATAGGGGGGGGGATGGAGCCGGTTCCTCGCGGGTCTGGCTCTTGGCAGAGCACCGATTGGCGGGGCAGCGGCCGTCTACCCCGCTCGCTGCCGGAGTAGGCCTCGTTCGCCGGCCCTTTTTTATGTCGTAAATCTCAATTTTATAGCTTAGTTAGTCTGTAGTTGCTGGAGCTGGTCTTACGAGCGACTGTCCAGCTCGGCGGTCCGGCCCCGCCCCTGAAAAAAATGTGTTTTAATGAAACCACACAAACCAAACTTATTATGTTACTTTACAACCATCTTAGTACAGCTACCGGCACTATGGGGCACTACGCTATACAGCCCAATGGGAGGCCAACCTGGGGGAGGTGTTGGAGAGAACAGATTGGCAAGACATCTGGGAGGTGTGTACAAAAACAACAATTTGTGTAACGCTCCAAGAACAATCATACAAAACACTATACAGATGGTACACGACCCTCATAAAACAGAATCAGATGAAACTGAACCCCTCAAATGACTTGGCACTTATGCGGCGGAGAGGGTACATATATACATACGTGGTGGGAATGCCCACAGGTAGCGGATTACTGGCATAAAATTATGGACTTCTGCTCACAGATCCTACAGAGGAAAATAGCCTTTGACCCATGGGCATGCCTGCTGTCCAGACCCACAGAGGGCCTAACCAAACACGAACAAAAACTCCTTAACATGATTACTCTAGCGGCCCGTAAAGCATTGGCGCAAAAGTGGTCTTGCCGAGAACCCCCCAACTATCTCTGGTCAAACCGAAACTCAGGGACAATACCTTATGGACAAGCTAACAGCACAAGTCAGAAACACACTGAATACTTTCAGTAAGTAAGGGGAACATGGGAACAATACGATACATAAAGTGTTAAGGGTGGGGAGCGGGAAGATGAGAGTGGAGGAGGCTGGGGGCCCGATCTGGCGACGTGAGGCTGCATCCTCACGTGAAACTCACAACACGGACTTCTTGGAAACATCCTGACATCCTTTTTTCTTTAATTTTCCTTTCCTATACTGTCTCATTCTCACTTTTATCTGTACTCACATGTTATACTGACTTAAAACCTGGCAGAAGGCGGAAAATAGCAGAATTAAAACAAATGTATGCAGATTGTTCAGTAAGCTATCCTCACATTTCTCATTTCTTACTTTAACTGTAACATATATATATATACATACATACATACACACACACATACATACATATATATATATATATACACACACACATATATATATATATATATATATATATATATATACACACACACATACACACACACACTTCATATACACCAACTAATCAAACATTTTGTTTTATTCTACATATATTTATTCTTCTTTATTATATTTTTGAGACCATAATTAGAGTTTTAACATTGGATATGATATCCAATGTTACTGTATGTAAATCATTTATAGCGCTCTTCTCTTTATCTTTTGATTTTTATTCATTGTTATTTTTTTATTCTTAAGTTTCTTTTTCTAATTCAATAGATTGGCATAAAAGTATTAGTTAATTACAAACATTTAATATGAGTGTTATAAGTATTTAATTTAATTTGATGTGATTTATGACCGTTATAAAAATCACTAGCAACTGGAAATGCTTTAACATTAATATAAATGCACTAACAGTAATCTGCAAGCAATAAAGACCCTTGCGGTCCATTCTGACCACCATCCTACGTCAGATACCAATTGGTGATGTCATCACTAACATCCATCTATCACAATTTAGAGTGCGATATTTTAACCTGAACCTTCAGGGATTCTGTTCCCCTTTGAAGAGCCACTTACCAGCGAAACGCGCGTTGGGGCTTGAGATTACAGAAATCTGATAGCCACAACCTTTCGTTTAATTTTTTAGACCACTCTTATTTTGATTAACACAAAGCTTTGGGATTCTCTTTGATAATCTATTTAACACTTTGGGTGGCTTGGGGCTTCGGACTGATTTAGCCGTCTGCAAAACCACGGCGAGTGCTGATACAGCACAGTGATACACTGCAGACAAACACTTGCCATTAAATTGATGCAGTGTTGTGTCTTGCAGGGGGCTCTTACGTTAGCAAGCTAGTTGAGCAGTTACTTATTTGGATAGGTGCCCTCGAAGGCACAGTTGAACTTCACACATCTATTAGAATAAATTCTGGATGGTAAATTTCATGCATGCTAGCACTAAATAGAATTTTCCGTTAGGAAGTCAGCTCAGTAGCCGATAATACAGAAATGTGCCCTCGAAGGCATGGATCAAAGTTACATTTATTTAATAGATTCACTCTGGAATCCTACTTGTAACACCAACTAGCACTAATAGATTTTACATTTTTTGCAATTCAGTAAATGCGTGGAGTTAGTAAGCAGACCGACAATTAAAATTTATTTTGAAAAGTTTCATTCTATTTAAAGGGACACTATAGTCTACATATAAAAGCAAGAAAGACAGGTCCCCCAGCCTTCCTTCTTGCTTTTATATGAACTTACAGGTAATAAAAATAATTTTCCAAGCTTTATCATATAAACTTACCTCTGTTCCAGCGCCGAGCTCCCAGCCATGCCGCGCCCCCTTTTTCGTCAAAATGCCGAAATCGCGGGGCTCAATTAGACGCTTCTCTCAGAGAAGCGTCATCATGATCTGGTGCACATGCGCAAAGACACAAGTAGTAAAAAATGTAAGACATACACACACTCTCTCTCTCCATCCATCCCAATCCATATTCATCTACTCCCATCATCTATATCCATCCACTCCCATCATCCATATCATCCATATCCATCCCCAAATCCATCCACTCCCATCATCCATCCATTCCCATCATCCATATCATCCATTCACTCCCATCATCCAAATTAATCCACTCCCATCATCCATATCATCCATCCACTTCCATCATCCATCCCCAAATCCATCCACTCCCATCATCCATCTCCATCCACTCCCCTCATCCATCCATTCTCATCATCCATATCCATCCCCTCCCATCATCCATCCATTCCCATCATCCATATCCATCCACTCCCATCATCCAAATCCATCCACTCCCATCATCCATCCACTCCCATCATCCATATCTATCCCCAAATCCATCCACTCCCATCATCCATATCATCCATCCATTCCCATCATCCATCCCCAGATCCATCCACTCCCATCATCCATCCACTCCTGTCATCCATATCAATCCACTCCCATCATCCAAATCCATCCACTCCCATCATCCATCCACTCCCATCATCCATATCTATCCCCAAATCCATCCACTCCCATCATCCATCCACTCCCATCATCCAAATCCATCCACCCCCATCATCCATATCCATCCACTCCCATCATCCAAATCCATCCACTCACATCATCCATATACGCCCATCATCCAAATCCATCCACCCCCTGTGGCGAAACCGATCTCGCCACTGGGCATTGGAGAAGACTGATTGCCAGCCTCCTGCCATGTGACTATGGCCCCTGGGATGTATTGCCCTTTAAAGACATGATTTGGGCATAAGGTATTTGTGTTGTGCTGCTGCTGGCCCTTTAAGAACCATCTGGGGACATACTGTGGTGATACTGGGTGGCCACCATTTCCTGTATCAGAGGCACATGGTGAGAACAATGGATGAAGCACATGGTGAGATGGATGGCGGCCATTTTAACTCACAGACACTGTTTGGACTTAACTCGCCAGTATTTGGTGCACAGAGACATCGTGCAGTGGTTTTGGACTATACAGCAGGGGACACATTATACAGTGATTGTTTTTCATTTAGCCAGTATATGTTCTGCAGAATCTGCATTAAACTGTATCTTCCAAAGTACTGAACGGATCTGGGTGAATTTCGGATATGTGGTTAACCCAGATCCCCCGGTTATGGGGTTATTGCATGTTTTGGGGTCCCTGTGATGTGTTTTATGAAACTGTATTTCTCTGTCTGTGATAATTAGATTACCCATTGTGTAAGGTAATTGTATTACAGACAGAGGGGAGGATTTTGTGTGGGAGTGTCTGTGTGTATTGTACAGATTGATTGGTTATTCTGTAAAACCCTGTGGGCAGTACTAAGTTTGTGGATTGGGAATAAAAGAGGCTGTATGTGCCAGTACAGTCAGTTCCTGTTTTAACCCTCAAAGTGAAGTGTCGTCTCATTATTGGGGGAAGGATTTATTGTATGCTGTTCCAGTTTGACTGCTAGGAGAGTAACCCTATTCGTATGGTTCCTATTCAACTGTCTACAACATTCATATGCTTGAGAGAAGGTATACGCTTCTCTGGTTCGGTGATTGTGGTGTCTGCTGCAGTGCTTGGAGTCCTCAGGAAGCGCTAGGAGCATCCTTCAACGGAGGTACCCAGTCGGGGTGCCAGGTGATCCGTTACACCCCCATCATCCATATCCATCCACTCCCATCATCCAAATGCATCCACTCCTATCATCCATATCCATCCCCAAATCCATCCACTCCCATCCATATACATCCACTCCCATCATCCATCAATCCTCACCCACTCACCCTCAGTCACCCACCCACACTCATTAAATAAGTTTACTTACAGTTTGTATCCTCCCCTCCTCGGTCTTCAGCCTGTCAGACCTGTCAGCTCAAGCCACTCCCACGCAGTGCTGACACAGGATACAAAGCGCGTTCACAGTCTGAAGTATTCACCCATGCATGAATACGTCAGACGTGAATGAAGCCTTTTAAGGGCTTCTGAACTCGGAAGTCCCTCTGGTGGCCGTCTGATTGACTGCAACTGGAGGTGTTCCAAGCTTCCAATGTAAACACTTACAAGAAAAAGGCTGCAGGGAGCTGTAGCACTCACCTGAACAACCTCATTAAGCTAAAGTTGTTCAGGTGACTATAGTGTCCCTTCCAAGGCATCTCACAGTATATACAGTTTTGAAAACAAAGATAACTCTTTAGGCGATATACATTTCCTGTTGAGCTTACCTTTTGGATCATGGCACTAACATAACTGTTGCTAATAAATAC